ATATGGAAAAGTTCAAGGGGTATGAATACTTTTGCAAACCACTGTACATATTTTAACACAGACTGAGCCGTTTTATTAACCCACAAAGCGTTTTGGGTAAATGATGACGTGGATAGGTCCTCGGTGTGAGCGAGCTATATCCACCCTGAAGGTTAATCTTGGAAAATATCTGATGATCGACTCTTTTAAATGAAACTAGAGAGCGTTGACAGAGGAGTGATGTAGTCTATGTAGTCTAAAAATGCACAAAATTTCCTTCAAGCCTACAGTATTTTTACATCTTTATTTTACAGTTAAAATCTATGTTTTATCAAATAAAGTCTAATGTTACAACTAATCGTGGATCCCTTTTAAAGCAGCAACTGCTTTTTTAAAGACATTAATACGTCTTTGAAACTCTTGTGGGCCACATAAAATGATGTGGCAGGCCACATTTGGCCCACGGGCCTTCAGTTTGAGGTGTTCTAGTGGTAATAATATTTGGATCTGCTTTTTATATTAGTCCCCTCCTGCTACTGATAAATACTGATATGTAAACTGTCTTCTTCTGAATTAAACTAAATTAATCTTTTCTGTTCATTGTTTTGATGTTTGAGATGTTTTACTTGTTGAAATAAACTGCAGTCTTTGTGTCAGAGGGAAGCCGAAGCTCAGGAAGAGGCCGAGGAAAAAAGAAAACTGCAGAAGGTGCTCCAGGAGCAGCGGGGGCTCATCGATGCTCTCACAGCTGAAACCATGACTCTGAGGGAGGAGACGACAGCCCTGCAGGTGAGACTCGGCTCCGTGTCTTGTCGTCTCGCCTCTGTGCAGTTGTCCGTAAACGTTTTGATCTCTCCGGATCTGTTGCTGTGCTGCGCAGGCAGGACTGCAGCAGCAGGCAGYGGAGCAGGAGCAGAGGTTGGACGCGGTGGTGCTGGCGATGGGAAGACTTGGGCTGCTGGGTGGACACGATGCCGGACATGCAAAGTCTAACGGTATGAAGCGTCTGCGTGACCGCCGCGTGTCGACTCTTGTAGAAAACCTGCTTGATGTTTTGGTGAATTGTTGTGCAGTTTGTCAGTCGGCTCCTGAGAAAACACAAGCTCGTGTTTCTCCYGCTGTCCTGCTTTCCCCACCACAACAGAGCGATAACTGGCAACAAAGTTCTGGTAACTTTCAGTTTAAAATAATTCCTCTCTGTCTCGTTGAAGAGGCTTAAATTAGTGATTTTTCTCCCTTTTTTTTTTACAGTGACTCCTCCTGCTCCTCTGCAGCATGGCCAGTGTTCCTGTGAGGCTCTTCAGGCTCACGGCTCATCCTCCAGTCTTCACAGTGCGCYGCTCAGCAGACGCTCCTCCCCCTCCTCACTGTCACTCACCTCTGATCCTCTCCGCCTGCAGCCCTCTCCTGAAGCCATGCTCGCTGAGGTAGCACAGCTGAGCAGGCAGAACAAGCTGATCAGGGCTCAGCTCAACTGGGCCAAGGACCTCAGTTCAGGGGTCACAGGACTGCCGATCGGCATCAGAGAGCGGAGAGAGTCTAGTCCCGTCAGCGCGGGGAGGCTCACACCACAAAGTGCTGGAGAGAGGAGGACATCCGGGTCCAGCAGCATGAACAGAAGCCAGAGCGTTCAGTCTCCTGAAGAGAAGACATCGAGTCAACAGGTGAGYAGCATCTTAGAACGTCAGACTGATTCACAAACCCAGAATTATAAAWAACAAAAGGCTGCAAGAACGTTGAATGACTGCTGAAGTAGATGAAACTGAAGTGTAAGAGCCAAAGACAAGCAAAGCACTTGATAAGAGGTAAAACACTTGCTAAAAGCAGTAAAATGTTAGCTGAAAGAAGCAGAATGCTAGCTAAAAAGATAAAGCAGAACACTGAAACGTAAAAGAAGTAGAACAATAGCTAAAAGAAGAGAAATATTAGCTAAAAGAAAAGAGAAATTCTAGCTAAAAGATATGAAACATTAGCTAAAAGCAGCAAAATGCTAGTTGAAAGTTAAAAGAAGCAGAACATTAGCTAAAATAAGACAAATATTGGCTAAAAAAAGGCTAAACACTAACAAATACTACCTGAAAGAAGCAAATTGCTGGGTGAAAGTTAAAAGAAACAAAACACAAGCTAAAAGAAGCAGAACCCTAGCTAAAAGAGAGAATATTAGCTAAAATAACCAGAAAACTAGCTAAAATAAGTGAAACACTTGCTAAAAGAAGTAGAACTCCAGCTAAATGAAGMAAGATGCTAACTGACRGTTAAAGAAKCAGAAMATTAGTTAAAAATGTAAAGAAACAGAACACTAGCCAAAAGACAAAATCTCTAGCTGAAAGGCTAAGTTTGCAGAAGTTACTTTGCAAAAAACAGTTAAATACAKGTTTAATATTTGACTCAATACCAGAGGAATGAAAATGAATTTGTTATGGAAGATTTAGTCTCTTGTTTTCCTGCTCAGACCACGTCCTCCAGCTCTGTCAGTGTGGACAGCGTGCAGCAGCGCCTCCTGGAGCTCAACAGGCAGAGTGCAGCGGCCCGGAGTCGACTGCTGGAGCTCATCGAGTTACAGAAGCAAAACGTCGCAGTCAGGGCATCTCCCTCTGCCTCCCCCGTCCCCCACTCAGCCTTCAGTCCAAACACAGCAGGTACGCTGGGCAGAAGAAAGCTGCTGCTGTGAGGTCACCTGCAGTTTACAGAAAACTGACTGCTGTTTGATTTTCAGACGGAAGCCGAGGCTCAGAGGAGTCGGTGCTGCTGCCTGAGCGGGACGTTCAGCCACATCGACRGTGAGTTGCTCAGCTAAATGAGCAGGATGTTACAGACTCTAAAACTTTTTATCATTGTGTACACTCCAGGAATAAAGTTTTTTATTTGACACAACAGTTGGTTTTGGTTTAACATTATAAAATAATCTTTTCTGTGTCACAGGTCTGCTGGTTTTGATGCGTCTCCACATGGTTTTGGAACAGGAACTGGAAAAATGCAGGTACACACAAACAAACTGCAGACTACACAGATGTTTTTATTTAACCAACTCTTARATTTTAATTTATCTTTATTTTTCCACAGCAGATGGAGAAACAGAGACAACAAGAAGGCTGGTTTGCCTTATCTTCTCACTTGAGATAAAACCTGAAGTTAGTTTTATTATTATTATTATTATTTTTTAGTATTTTGTGGAAATGTTTTTCAACTATTGTAATAAAATCTTTTAAACTTTATGGTATTTTTTTTCTCCACAGTCATTCCTAACAATGCTGTCTGAGCAGCCTCACTTGTTACTGTAAAGTTGTTTATTTTTTTTATAGCCATCATAAGGAAACAATATTCAGAGAGAGGGATGAGGAGTGGAAGTGGTTTATTCAAGCGGTCCTTTGGGACCTGTCTGAACTCATTTACAGCTTTTTGTATAAAACAGGACATCATAGCTGAGAGGACTACCTGTGGATGATGCAGTTACAACGCTGGCCTCTGCTTACTGCTTCATGTAGCTCTTTATCCTGTTGATTGGGCGTCACGTGACCTGGGCGTGCTTCGCAAGGGGGATTTTTATGCACTGAGCTAATGCTAACGCTAACCATTGAAATCAATGAGCAGAATGTAGCGCGGTGCAAACAAACGCTTTATAAATGTACAAATACTTCACTATAAACTACATAGATTGTTATAACTTATTTACAAGAGCTAAAAAGGGTTATGTTTCACAGGTAAATATTACGCATATTTAACCAAAATTAATTATTTTAATCGTAAAACCTGTATGCTAACATTTAAAAAGCTTCAATGTATCTTATTTCGAATCGATTTTATCTGTTGTCAAATATATTATTTACTGATATTAAACAAGTAAAATATGAACTATTATATAATATAAAGAGAGCACTTTATACATGTAAATATGAATATACATTTATACTTTTAAATTAAACTTTCAAGTACACACACATATAGTATATACACACACTTGAAAGATTAATTTTATTATTTTAAATATAAGACTCAGTTCTGATTAATAAATATATCCAGCTGGTCAAAACTCATTAACTTGTATGGGGGAGGGGGGGGAGACACACCTCTGAAATGCAAAATATTAAATTAGTTATTTATTTTAAATTTCCATATCTATGAAATACACAATTTCCTCAGCTTTATTTTGAACCATAGTTTGTAAAGATGGAGCAAGAAATAAGAAAGTTATGAGTTTTTTCATCAGGAAGACACCTCACAGTCCATTGACATCCATTCATTTTGCTGAGGTTCCTCAGTGCACAACAGAGCTCCAGTGTGTGCATAGCAACGCGCTAGCCACACCCAATCCAGTAATATATGTCAATGATTTTACCTCATCTGTTAGTGTCTAACACATTTACAGCAGGGCTCAACAACAAAACCTCATCAGGGGTCAGTCAGCCTTTAAGACAAGAAAAAAAATCCTTTATTATTATTATTATTATTACCATTATTATCATTATTATTATTATAATATAATGCTTGCAAAGTTACCCAGCTTTAGGATGTCAGGACATTCACGTACTTTTTCTCATTAATCAAACATTTAAGCCAGCAGGTGGAGCTGCAGATTCATAACACAAGAATTGTATCTGTGACTTTTTGTATTTAACAACCTTTTTTGTGCCTAACAGAAAAAAAAACCCACTTCAGATGAAAAGTCAACAAAGAAATATAACCCAATCTCAGGAGACCCATGTTGACATCAGKAGTTGTCTCAGATCTATTCAAAGGTCTCGTGAAGACACGGCAGTAGGAAAGTGATTTATCTCTGTRTTTTTCTTGCAGTAAGAGGCTGAGATGTCTTCAGGGTGGTGCGTGTGGGCAGTCGTTCGGTTGAGTTATGGTTTGAAAAGTTGTTTTTGGGGGTTCGAGACGAATAAACAGAACAAAGGCAGATGATGTGTTTCAAGCAGGGAAATCAGACAAACGCTGTGGGACACTAAATAAGAATTCACTTCTGGATTTTGATCAATTAATTGGAACGTATTAATGAAAACCTGAATATTTGCTGCTGATTTGTTTCCACTTCAGGTGATGTTTGCTCTTCGTTTTAAAGGAGGAGGAGAAAGAGAGCACTTGATTTTTTTTTTTCCTCTTAAAAGACCTGTGTGGATGTTGACAATGAGCAGCAGGGAAATCAAAAGGAGTAAATATTGCAGATAATAACAGGACGGGGGCATAAAGGAGCTGAGGACAGCGGCCGTAAACGTGGGGGTCAGGGGTCAGGGTGGCCACGCAGAGGGAGGTGAGCGGGGCTCTTTGTCCTCCGGCTGGCTGAGTGAAGGGTGGGGGTGAAAGAGGATTAACCTCAGCCCAGTGCCCCTCAATGCCCCCTTTTCCTCCACCTCCAGGAAAGTTCCCATGTGAGCAGCACCTTCATGCTGCCCCTCTCTGTTCCCACACCCAGGGCTGCTCAGAGGCCTGATCTAGTATCTGCGTGCAGCAAGGGTGGAACGTACACAGAACGCACAAATATGATGCAGAGGGGCATGAATGGGGTGGGTGGGGGTGGGGGGGTCCTGTTTAAATGTGCCCCCAYTTCACCTCAGTGAAGGAGGACAAAGTCAGAAAACACACACGCTGAAGCTTGTGCACACACTCCATGTGACAAAGAGTTTGTTTATATGTAGGATAATAACACAAACAGGAAGTAGTTTCTGTTTAAAGCAGATAATTTGGGAAAGTTTTGTCAAAAAGAAAAGAAAAAAAATCATTTTGTTTATAGCGTGACTTGCATATATTTTATTGTTTTGTTTTGTTTTAAATGAAGTAATCGTCGCTGTTTTTAAGATTCAGTGCAGGACAACAACCAGCAGAGAGCAGTGTGAATGTGCTGCTACAGCTTAGTGGGTGCTGGGTTAAAATGTGAAAGTCAGTTTAGTTTTTTTTTTTAACTCTTATTCACTTTACAAATATTTAAGCATATTTTCGAAACACAAACAAAATGATTTACTGAAAGATGAAAACTATTACAGCGGCAGGGCCTCAGGTTCAGGTTTTAAAACAAGATGAGTTTCAGGTAAATAACATTTATTTTGCTGCTTCTATTGATCCTGTTTCTCTTTACTCATTGTCTTTTCTGTATCTTTTTCACATGCAATTATTTCAACCATTCAAAGTCAAATCATTATTCAGGTTATTTTATTCAGGAAGTCTCAGTTATTGAAACTTTTGTATTTTTCTAAATTCCTAATATTATGTAAAATAAATATCCCAGAGCTATAATTCCTTCAAATTAATTTAGAAATCTGCCAAAGCTTTTTTTTTTACTGGTTTTAGCTATTATTTTAGCTTTTAGGTAGCTACATGCTTGTGTTTTCTAATGTTATCATTTAGCTAACATTTAGCTACTTTTCTCTTTTAGCTAGTGGTTTTTCTACTTTGAATGGGGCTTTTTGATAGATTCTAGCTAGCATTTTTCTGTTTTGGGGTGCATTTATAGTTTTTCATGTTAGCTTCAGTTAGCGTTTTGCTTCTTTAAAACACGCAGTTTCAACAAATTTTAGCTAATCATTTTCTGTGACCATTTTAGCTTTTGGCTCAAATCTTGCAATGACTAGTGTTTTTTCTACTTTGAAGGTAGCTTTTTTGCTGTTTTTAGCTTTTATTTTTCTACTTTAGAGTTTTTCCATGTTTGCTTAATGTTAGCATTTTGCTTCTTTTAGCCAACTCAGTTTAAGCTTCTATAGATTTAACCATTTTGCAACTATTAGCGTAATGCTTTTTGTTTTTTACAATTATCATTTAACCAACGTTATGTTAGTTTTAATTTTACCTAGCATTTTTCTACTCTCACAAAGGTTTTTATGATAGCTTTCACCTTTTTAGCCAACTCAGTGTAAGCTTTATAAAATGTAGCTATATATATTTTTTTTATTACTATCCCTTTTTAACTAGCATTTTGCAACTATTAGCTTCATAGTTGTTGTTTTTTTCAAATGTTAACATTTAGCTAACATTTTGCTACTTTCAGAGCTTTTCATGCTAGCCTTTAGCTTTTTTGCAGCCAACTCAGTTTCAGCTTCTACAAATGTTTTTAGCCATAATTTTATAAGAAGTATTGTTTTTCTCATTTTGTTTTGTTTTGAATTTGAAGTTGATTTCGTGCAGCTTTTTTTCATCAGAAATCACCTTTAATAACCCAGCCTTCTGCACGTGCACCGTGYGCACCGTGTGACATGTGCATGTTTGCATGTGGAGTGGGGGTCCGTGTGCGCCGAGGCGTCCTCCTCCACAGCTGTGCGAGGTTCTGATCTGCAGCAGGCTGTTGGCTGCTGGGAAAATATTATTGCAAGTGTTTATTATTGCTTCAGTGTGAAACAGTGGGAGAGTTGTGTGCGCTGCACGGGCTGCTGGAGTAATGGAGTGCTTGCGTGTGTGAAGGGAGAGTGAGTGGGTGGGTGGGGTTCTCTCTTAGTTCTCCTGTTCTCTGTTTCCCACCGGCCAGCACCCCACCCCGGCCTCAGCCCCAGCCCGGCCCGTTGCACCCTGGGTAATGGCGAAGGCCTTTTTGGAGTTGATTAGTTCCGGCTGGAGCCCAGATAGAGTTCTGACAGGCAGGAGAAACAAGCTCCCAGCGTGACCCTCCACTCCCCGCCACCCCCCCTTTAACACCCCCATCTCAGGCACAATGGGTGAGGCAGGAAAAAGGCTTTTTAAACAACTGCAGCTCCTCTCCACCACCTCCACCTTTCAGTCCAAAACTTTGCTGTTAACTGCAACAAAAAACCAACACGCGCTGCGGTGTCGAGTCTGAGCATGTAGTTTCCCCTCCGTGATTTTCTTCTCATGAATCCCACACGTGAAGATTAATATTTWCGCTCCACGTTGCATAACGAATAAAAAACAAGAAGAAAAAAAAAAGGAATTGGCTGCGAACATCAATCAGCYTTGGATGGTTTTGTGTTTTCTTTGTGGAAGCGTCACATCCACCAGGCCGGACACCTGTGGCATGAGCTGACATTCCTTCAGTGGAGCAGCATCATTCCTCTGCTGCTTTATCCTTTCCTCCCTCTTCTTCTTCTTTTTTTWATATATTTTATTTCCCCACTCTATCTCCCCCTCCTCCCCCTCTTCCTCTGTCTTTCTCTTCTTCTTTCTCCACACATAATTGATTAAGAGCCGTTTTCATAAATCAATTTGGGACGCACATCAGTCAGCCCTGAATGGAGAAACCCCCCCTCTGCGCAGCGGTATTAATCTACCTCAG